AAAAGGAAAAACTATCTCTACATGCAGATGACATGACCTTATCATAGACAGTCTGAACAAAATCACTGAAAAAATTGAAGAGATTAGCAAAATTGCAGGGGACAAAAGCAACACATGCAAATCACCAACAACGAGCAACCCTATGATGTAACCAAGGAAACGGTTCCATTTACAACAGCATCATAACCCTAAGATGCTTGGTAAGAAATTTACCCACAGACTTGCAAGACTGGTGTGCTGGAAGCTACAGATGATTGCTGAGAGGAATTAAAGAGGCATAAATAAACAAAAGCCAACCCACATGCGCACCCCTGAATTCTTGACATGGTTAATATGGCAATACTGCCCAAATTTATCTACAGTTTTGATGTAATCACCATCAAAATTCCCACTGCGTTCTTTGTTGTTCTTTTTTTTTTTTCTTTCCAGAAAGGGTCAAGTGGATCCTAAAATTCACATGGAATCATCAGGCCAAGACAATCTGGACAAATCAGAACAAAGATGGAGGCCTGCACTTGGTGATTTCAAAACTTCCTATGAAGCCGTAGTAATCCAGACAGTGTGGCACTGGCGTGAGGACAGGCATACAGGCCAACGGAATACAATTTAGAGTCCAGTAATAACCCTGTACTTTATGGTCAACTGACATTCAACAAGGGGGCCAATACCTTTCCAAAATGGCGCTGGGCAACTGACATCCATGCGGAAAGGAATGGAGATGGACCTTTATCTTGCGAAGTATACAAACATTAACTCAAAATGTTTCAAAGACCCAACATAAGAGCTAAAACTACAAAACGGTTACACAGACAAAACGGTTCGATTAGGCAACGGGCTTCTTTAAAAAAATTTTTTTTTTCAACGTTTATTTATTTTTGGGACAGAGAGAGACAGAGCATGAATGGGAGAGGGGCAGAGAGAGAGGGAGACACAGAATCGGAAACAGGCTCCAGGCTCTGAGCCATCAGCCCAGAGCCCGACGCGGGGCTCAAACTCACGGACCGCGAGATCGTGACCTGGCTGAAGTCGGACGCTTAACCGACTGCGCCACCCAGGCGCCCCAAGCAACGGGCTTCTTAAACATGAGACAAGCAAGAAACAAAAATGGATAAATCGCACGTCGTCAGTGAATTAACACGTTTGTGCCTCAGAGGACTCTCTCAAGAAAGTGAGAAGGCGACCAGAAAACTAGGAGAGAATTCTTGCAATTCCCATATCCCATAAGGGACTGGTGTTCAGAATGTAAAAGAACTGTTACAATTCAACCAGGAGACAAACAGCCCGATGAGTAAAAGAACAAAGGCTTGACCAGACGTTCTGCAGGCCCATGAACGACCCCCAAGCAGGTGAGAAGGGTTCTCGTGGCAGCACTCACCAAGGACACGCGCCAGACCACAAGGACACAGCACTGACAGTCAATGGAGCGGCTCTAACTTGTTTACGGTAGCCCCAAGTGTTGGTGAGGATAGAAGTAGAAGCTGTCATACATGCTGTGGAAAGAGTCTGGCAGCTCCTCAGAAAGTTCTGACATGACTCAGTCCTTCCACGCCTGGGAATGCACCGAAGGGCGGAAAAACGTGTTCACACAAAACTTGCACACACGTGTTTCCAACAGCATTATTCGTAAGAACCAAAAATGTCTGTAAATTGATGACTGAAGAAGCAAATACATGGTACCCTTACCATACAATACAGTCACCTATCAGAAGGAAGGCAGTTCTGATTTGTGTGGCCACGTGGGTGAGCACTGAAAGCATG